TTTACCAGTGAGTTTGAGTTCACAAGCATATATCATGCACCATCCTTTATCATCTGTTGTAATAGATCTGGCCATCAGTCTCTCATTCAAATATTATGTATGATGGATTAGGTTCCTAGGGCTTCATGAGAGTAAAGAAATTCCAGTGGCATGTTCAAGTGCATTTGATGTTGTCTGCTTACGCATGGAAGAGCGACTAGCCTACACCAACAAAGAGCAGGTAGCGTGGCTTTCTTTTTTCTTTAAAGTAGTTTTAGCAGATCCACTATTGTTGTTGTTTAGTACATGTTTTCAGTCAAGTCCAAGAAACAATTACAATCTTCGAGTCACATGACATGTATATATATACACACACACAACAACAACAACAACAACAATTTGGTTTAACTAGTTGGTCTGGTTTGACCTTGTAAACCTGATCTTTTAAATGAAAAACATGGATATAAAAAATCCTGTAGAATGAACTGAAGAATTCAGTACTTTTGCCCACACAATCTTTTAATCAATTTGGAAACATCTACTGAATACCTTTGGCCGGTTGTTACTGGATTTTGTTTCTCTGGTGGGAGAATGGTGCATGAATGCTGAGGAAGGTATCCCAAGTGTTTTTCTTTTAGAATATGTATTTTTATCCATCCCAAGTGCATGAAATCCAGAATCTTATTCTTTTGAAGTATGGATTGTCTGATTTTCCATCATGCTTTATTTTTCTAATATTTAAATTGAGCTTTGCTGGTTATATTACTGAGCATAATTTGAGCATTGTGTGTACTAATCTGATAGATCATTTTTTTCTTTTTAAAAAGAACATTGTTGTGATATTGGTCGCAAAGCTAGTCGTTTTAGTGATTCATGTACCTCGTCCTTTCTCATTACAGGATATGGTGCTTTTGCATCATGAAGTCCAGATAGAGTTTCCTGATGGAAGACCCACAGAGAACCACTGGGCAACCTTGCTGGAATTCGGAAAGGTAGAAGATGGCAAAGCTACTTCTGCAATGGCTCTCACAGTTGGAATTCCTGCAGCAATTGGAGTATTGGTAATCCCCAATTCATGTAAATTTAAGTGCAAGAAACCTAGTCAAATCCCAAAGCCGTTATCATATTTGGTTAATCTGAAAATTGCAGCTCCTACTTCAGAACAAGATCCAGAGCAGAGGGGTGGTCAGACCCCTTGAACCAGAAGTATACGCGCCGGGTAAGTTCATGTTAAATGCTGAATTATATTGCTACCTTTGGTTGCTCAATTTAAGTTCTGACTCCATGTTGGCTATTTGTTGATGGAACTTGGCAGCATTGGATATTCTAGAAGCGTCTGGAATAAAGCTGATAGAGAAATGCCAGACCTCATGAATCTCAACGTATCCAGAATGACCGGGTATCACTCTTTCATGTTGTATAGTTTAAGAGTGATGTAAATTAGTCTTCCGGTGAACCCATCTGTTGTTACCATCTGTGGCATACATTCTCCTCACAATAAGACATTAAGTTACTTTCCTATTGTACTTGTGTGTTCATATGTCCAACTAGTGAATGAATAAAATGATGCCGATAAGGTCTTTGATACAACACTCAAAACTCCACCAAGGTTGGTAAGAGGTGGAAACGCAGGACCATCTCATGCTTTGCTCGATGGATTCGAGTTGACCCAGAGTATCCTCCACTTGTGATGTTCTACTCCAAGATTCAACTAATGATCTCTTCTTTAGCTTGTGGATTCGTTTTCCTTTTCGTTAACCTCATAAATACTCCTGTTATTATATTGGTGTAATAGAGAAGAACCAGGATTCAGTGTGGTGCTCTGCAGTTCATTTACGGTATCCTCCACTTGTGATGTTCTACTCCAAGTTTCAACTAATGATCTCTTCTTTAGCTTGTCGATTCATTTTCCTTTCCGTTAACCTCAGAAATATTCCTGTTATTATATTGATGTAATAGAAAAGGAACAGGATTCAATGTGGTGCTCTGCAGTTCATTTACAAGGAAAGAAACTCCCTGTCACCATTATGATCTCTTATCCTTCCAGTGGACTGATTCCGCTCGAGGTTTCTTCTTCATATGCAGTGAACATGAGAGCAGGTATTAATTTCTTTTCCTTTCAATCAACTCAGTTAGTAGTTCATCGGTATGATTCTGCTGAATTGAATTGGACTTGCATTTGACTCATGATTGAGATAATTAATTGAGTTTGAAACAAAGCTAAATAAGAAACAAAGAATTAAACAGTGTGTCTACATTTAACGACAAGCTTACACCCTTTGTCTTGCTTAGTAATTGATGACATCAAAGTGGAATATCAGAGTTCTTGTTCTCTTCATGGAGTTTCGAAAACATTACATCAAGTTCATCACGTTGAAGTCAATAAGGATTTCATTGAACTTTTTTTTTGAATCAAAGTGGCCATAAACAATGAAGAATCTCACAAGAACAGAGAGCATGATATAATTCATCTGTGTCTCAAAAATACTTAATCCGTCACATTATGTGCTTTTAGATCAGCTTATCACATTATGTGTCTCTCACAAGAAGAATTCTTCCTCAATTTACCACAATAAATATCTCTACTACTACATCTGTGAAATCTTTCTTTTCCTGTGTGCAACAAATAGATCAAAAACATATGTCAAGTTCTGAAAGAGATACATCAGCTTCTTCCATTTCCCTCACTGCAAAGCTTTCCACCAGCAGCTCCTCAAGACTCACGAGTTGGCCGGAGACTTTGGAGGCAGAGCGCGTCCCTCTCCTCCTCCCAACGCCTGTTCGATGTCGCCCACTCGGGGGCTACACGGCGAACCAGCAGTCCTCCCACCCAGGCTCCAAAGCCTCCGCAGCGACCTAAACCTCGCCGTAACAGGCGACCCCGTGTCTTCCATGGCGAACCTACTCGACGGCAATGGAGTGCCTCGCGACGGGAACTCGTCCACCACCCTCCTCGGTATCTCGATCACGAGACGCCCTTCCTGTGGCTTCTTCGACGATGAGCTGCCTGAAGAAGTCGAGGGCCCTTCCGGTGAGCCATCTCCCTCTGCCTCTCCCGTAGTCGAAGAATTCTCGGCGTTCGCCTGATCTTGATCGCCGCAGAACAACGGGTTTGGCGGGAACACCAGTGACTCGCGAACAGTCTCAGGCGGTTGAGCTTCCGTTGCTTCAGCACCGGCATCCGGGTTCGCGGAGGGCTCGGCGCCGACGGGGCCCCGGCACAGCGGGCAGGTGGAGTGAGAATGGAACCACATGTCGATGCACTCGAGGTGGAACCCGTGGCCGCACTTGGGCAGCAGCCGGGCCTCCTCGCCGTCGACCAGCTCGCAGAGGCAGACCGCGCACTCGAGTCCCTCCTCGAAGTCCGCCGCCCGATAGACGGTGACGGGCAGCGAGCAGAGCACGGCCGCGTCGAGGCCACGGCGAGGTGCGGGGTCGATGTCAGCCGCGGCGAATACGAAGCGGGTCCGGGAGCGACCCCGGAGGGCGGGGTTCGGACGGAAGTAGCGCCTGGCATAGAGGTAGAGGAAGAAGACGAAAACGACGACCATGAAGAGGAAGACGGCCGCCGCCACCATCACCTTGCTGTTTATCCTGACGACGTCTACGCCACCGGCGCCGCCGCCGATATCCTGATCACCTGGCTCTGCCATCGGTGACGTTTGGTACGCGATGGCTGTGGTGCTGTCGTTGATGTGAAAGACCGAGGAGGAGAGACGATGTAGTACTGAACCACACCTACCTTTAAAGGACAAGGAAGGAAGTTGGAGAAGAAGAAGAAGACTTTAGGTGTGGAAGCCGAGGAAAGACTGGGAGCAGTATGTAAGTCACTACAGGTGGGGCAGGAGAGGAGAAAGAAGGTGGTCTTCATGAAGGACGAGCATGTGAATGAAGGTTTTGACATCACAGACTTGACTCCCATGAGCTTGCGTGTGGAGCTCGGCCATTTCCGATCTTTCGCGGAGGCCGGTGAGCACAGGCTGTGTCGGGCCTTCTCTGACACGGCGGAACCGGTCAAACAAGGAGGAAGCCACGCCCTTCCGTTGACTTGTAGTGCCTTTCCGTTGACTTGTAGTGCCTTTCGTTGACTTGAGATTTGTACTTGGGTCTTCCTTCGCACAAACCTATAAATCGATGAGGATCCAAATTATACTTACATGGAGGAGATTGGAGACCGCTAACATTCGAGTAAAAGATTACAAAATGCACCATAAATTCAATTAAAATGTTCTCCATCTTTGTTTCTTTTTGCTGTATCGTTCGTGTGTCACACACCTGAGCGACTGCATCGTTCCCTCTCGTTCCTACTGGTGTTGAAATGGCACACCAACCTCAAAAGTCATCAACAATACGCAACGAAGAGGAAAAGAAACGAACACGCTTTTGGTGAGAAAATGTCATGCAAAAACAAAATATTATAAGTCCAAAGTCATCCATTTCAACACTCTCTAGAAAGAGAAGGAGCAGATAAAATTGATTTCGGAGGAAGAAGAGGAAGAAAAAGAAGAAGATAAAGTAGGATCTCTTTCATCATTATATTATTATTATTATTATTATTATTATTATTTTCATAAATTTTGTTCTTTTTTCTTAATATGACCAATGTTTTGATGGCTAATTTCTTACCTTCTTATTTGACTTTTCACTTAAGTGTCAATGTAATGATGTCGAACTCACCCATAATATTATGATAATTTTTAAAAATTGATCGATTCTGTTCGTGATATTGGGTCGATAATCAATCGTAACACTATCTTTCTTTCTTTTGATTATCGAATTTCTTGAATTCATTATATAAAGATTATAAACACATTTCACCACCATATACTTTTACAAACTTTTATTATATATATATATATATATATATATATATATATATATATATATCTTTACCCTTTTTTTTCCGTTAGAAAAGATTTGCCTTTTTCTTTTGTATTAAAAGCTGTCGAACAGAACAAACAGGAAACATAGAAATGCGAATCATTCTCCAATTCCTCGTAGTCATACACAAACATTCTTGCTGTAGATTTCGTTATGGAGATCCTCGAGAGCTCATCATCAACCTGATAAGATTGAGATCCAACAAGATAAGATTGGATTACCGGAATCCAATGTAAGATTTGCGCAAAAGTAGGCAGTGGTGACAGTTGATTCGTGCGTGGAAGTCTCCTCCGCCATCACGTCTTCCACACCCTGTGATTCCACGCAACCATGACGAAGCTGTTCCATGCTTCGCTCTAATGGCTACCTGCTCCTTCCATCCCCCTCCCTTCCGTTCTGCCATCTCCTCACTCTTCGTCGCTATGCCGAACCCTGCTCTCCATCTTCGTTCGTAGCTACGATGGCTGACAACGGCATGATGGACACTGCAGAGGAAGGGGGCGATGAGACTTGTGACTTCGGGTACCTGATTCTGAGACCCGATGGTGGCGGCCTGGTGGACCTCGCCCGGTTTCTGGTGTCCGGTGGCAATGCCCGCAGGTTCCTTCAGAGCTCTGAGGAGGAGGAGGAGGAGGAGGAGGAGGATGGAGGAGGACTGGGGCCGATCCCGGATGACCATCGATGTGTCATACTGGTGTCCATTCTGGTCCGCAGGATCATTGCATTCTTCGGTAAGCCCATGGCGTGGTGTGGGATGCTGGTGGAGTTCCTCTTGAACCTCCTCTCCCTCAATGGCGGCCTCCGCGGCCTTCTCCTCAGCCTCCTCTCAGGTTTCCAGTACTACCTTGAAAGAAACTCCATCGCAGTGCATATCGTGAAGCTGCATGTTGCATTGGCATGTTGACAGGGAAAGCGGCGGTGCCGCAGAGGGGCTCAGCGACGTTCGTCAGTGCGATTGGGCACCTGGACAAGCGTGTGGACCTGCTCAAGTTCGATGCGGCCTCATTGAGGTCGGAAGAGGAGAGCGAGGAGGTTGCTGCTTGCTCCCAAGTCGGGAGAAGGGCTGTGATGGACCTCTGCATGATGGCTTCCAAGCTAGCTTATGAGAATGACAAGGTGGTCGCCGACGTCGTCAACAACCATTGGAAGGCAATGTTTCCCCCTCGCTTGCTCAAACAATCTCTGCCTCTACATGCATGTCAACTGATTGTTGTAATTTCAAGTACAGTTCTCTTCAATCATGAACTTTAAACAAACATGTTCTCTTCGATCATGAACAATTGACATGAAGAGGCTTTGTGTTTGCCCAAGTAATTCTCTAGGTATGGAGACATTTGGAATGAAGGTTGAGCTTCTAAAGGAATTGTCACCGGTCGAGAAGGTTACAGAGAATGACCGATGAGGTTTTCTCTTTATTGAGTATCTGATTGAGAGGAGACAATTGATGCTGAGATATTGATTAAATTTTGGTCAGCTTACTAATTAACCGAATGTATTTAACCTATTAGACATTTAGTATACATGGTCAATTAGGTTTTCGCTGTCACAGAATTTGCTGATGGGAGAAAGATAATAGAGAGATTGATCAATTTTGGTCAGCTTACTAATCAACTGAATTAACTGAGTGTATTTAACCTATTAGACATTTAGTATACATGGTCGATTAGGTTTTCGCTGTCGCAGAATTTTCTGATTGGAGAAAGACAATAGAGAGATTGATCAATTTTGGTCAGCTTACTAATCAACTGAATTAACTGCATGCATTTAACCTATTAGACATTTAGTATACATGTTCGATTAGGTTTTCGCTGTCGCAGAATTTGCTGATGGGAGAAAAACAAAAGAGAGATTGATCAATTTTGGTCAGCTCACTAACAACTGAATTAACTTGGCAAGAATGACATACAACCCAGCTTTGAAAATTTGATCTGGTCAAATGTTTGGTTAAATAAAACAAAGCTCTTCAAACTTAACAACAATATATGATGAATGTAACTGGCAAGTATGATGTGTAGAAATTAGTTGATTGACATCAACTCTATTGAACACAGCAGAACTTTGAAGCTGTAGCATGTAGAATTGATATGAAATACTTGTAAGGCTGACCTACATACATTAGATTTTTTGTACTCCAGCAGACCAAAGAATTTAGTGCTTATGCCACATTTTACTGTGTTTTAGAACTTGCTCACTTTTTCTTCTCTACTGTTGGTGCAAGAGCAGATGCATTTTGTGGAGTTCTACAATTGCTGGAATGGTAAGAAAGTCTATCCATCCATAAAACTATAACTGTCTCTACTTCTTAAGTTTGTTAAATGTGTTTTTGTCATATTGGATGACTTGTAATTTTCTTGGCAGAGAATGTAGTTCTTTACATAATATAGGATTATTTTCTTTATGATGATGTCTCTGCACAAGAATTTGGTGTATGAACTATTAGCTCTATAATTTCTCTCTTATATCAAGTAAACTCGCATATGCTTATTTAGTATGATACTACTTGACCGCTTCCTCACGGCTATCTCTTATTTATTTTGGCTGCTTGATCAAAGATTATCAAAAGAAAAAGTCTACTCAAGTCTTCATCTTATGCGACAAGCGATTAGATGCCAGTATAGTGTTAATCAGCTTCCGCGGAACTGAGCCTTTTGATCCAGATGACTGGAACACAGATATCGACTACTCATGGTATAAGATCCCAAAAATGGGGAGGATTCACATGGGCTTCCTTGAGGCTCTTGGATTAGGCAACAGAATTCAGGTCTCCACTTTCCAATTCCATCTTCAAGGTCACTCTTTAAAAAGGAGCTATTCAGGTGCCCAAGTAAACTATGACACCAGCAGTTTATTTGTTAAAAGAAAGGATGAATCACTAGAGATGGATAAGGAGAATGCATATTATGTCATTAGGAGTAAGTTAAAAGACTTGCTTCATGAGCACAAGAAGGCAAAATTCATTGTAACAGGTCATAGCTTGGGTGGTGCACTGGCTGTGTTGTTTCCGGCAGTGTTATTGTTTCACAAGGAAGAAGAATTGCTGAAGAGGTTATTTGGAGTGTATACTTTTGGACAGCCAAGGGTTGGGGATCGACAGTTCGAGAGGTTCATGGAAGATCACTTGTGCCATCCAAAGTCCAAGTACTTCAGAGTGGTCTATTGCAATGATCTTGTTCCGAGGCTGCCTTATGATAACAAGACTTTCTTGTACAAGCACTTCGGAACATGCTTGTACTACGATAGCCTCTATATCGAGCAGGTATAAATTTCTTTCTTCTCTCGGATTTTGTGCTAAAAATCCATGAATGTATGTATATTCGCTACATTGGAGTGAAAATTTCATCTCAGAAAGATCATTGAGATGTAAAAAATAGCTAAAATTAACAGAGACATGAACATGTTTACAATGGACAGTTTTACAAGAAATGTATTTTCAAGAGAATATAGCCACATGATCACTGGCACCGATTTTGTTGTGCGAAGAGTTACGAGTGCTTTTGCCCAATCCTTGTGATAATACAATGTTTTCACTGAGAGATTGATGTGTACATGATATAGTTGCTCTTTAATTTCCTATAAAATGATTGATCTGTTGACAAATGAAAAGACCTTGCGGAATAGAACTTCATGAATGCATGTTAGCAAATTATCTGCTGAAGTAGGTTCCTGTCTAAGACCAACATCTATTCTTTTATTGATTTCTTTCTACCAAATTTATTCTAATCATAAAAATAGGAAGCTTAAATTTTGCACAACTATGTCATCATTAAATCGATCTTCAATCATGGCACAATTCTTTTCTAATCTGTGCAAACATGCTTGAAGTAATTGGCACATCTTCTCACAAAAATGACTTTACCTGTCTCTTCTGAATTAGAGAACTTTATGCATACTTTCAATACCTAAACAACTCCATGTTTCTGATGCAAGCTTGACTCTCTTCTAATTACTATCATTTTCTTTTTCCGATGAAGAACGTAGAGGAAGAGCCTAACAGGAACTACTTTGGGCTGAGATATCTTCTTCCAGAGCACATGAATGCGGTCTGGGAGCTCATCAGGAGCCTAAGCATGAGGTATGCCTATGGAACAGAGTACAAAGAGACCTGGTTCTCCATATGCCTTAGGATATATGGACTACTAATGCCCGGTGTTTCAGCTCATAGCCCTGTAAATTACATAAACAGTATAAGACTGGGAAGGCCAGTAGCTGATACTGGCTCCTTCTGAAGTGTCTTTGCAATTGAATTGAAGTCCCAAACCTCAAGTACCGATATGTAAACCTTAATATGCTTTTGTTTGTTTGATTCATGGCTTTTCCTATCAAAGAACTCAAACATGTTTTGGTTGGTAATGCTTGATTTTGACTCTTAAGAGTTCATTTCAGTAAAAATAGGAAACCATGGGAAATGATGCTTTTCAAATGATCCCATTTTGATTTTGATAAGAGCTCTATTCTCTTGATGGACGGAAATGATAAAACATAACACACTAAATCTATCACGTCTGAATATTTTTTGAGATCTAAAATGTTTTCTTAATCATAAATAATTATGGGTGTCTTGACTATGAATTAGGGGCATATTGATATTGTATTCGAATTATATTATATTCTTTATGCAGGAGAAGGGATATAAGATGCTTGGTTCCATTTTAGGATTCTTACTCGTGGATCTCTTTAACCATTTCGGAGGGCGTAATTATACTTCGATAAGGAATAGATCTTAGATCGAATCAAATTAATTAGTCATGTAAACAAGAATCATCAACATCAATAATTAATAATTTTAATAATTATATATATGATGGTGTGAT